TCCTGGCCTCCGCCCAACCTCTCTCTCTCTAGTACTACTCTAGCTGCTATGGTGCCCAGCGCTGAAGACTACAGCTGACGCTACTAGCGCCCAGCGCTGAAGACTAAGGCTAATGCTACAACTACTGCAGCGCTCCTCCAGAGTGCTGCTGCCGAATCCTGAAGCCTGCTGACCGCGTCCTGCCTTCCAGTGACCAGACCCTGGGGTTGAAGCTCAGACAAAGGTTGTCTTGAAAATAGGCCAAAAATGGCCTGAGCTAAAACCCTGGTCTGCTGCCTGAGTTTCAGGGCAGGTCGAACTGACGAGGGCCTGAAAATGGCCATCAGTTTCAGGCTGAAAATACTCACGGCCGGAAAGGCCCTGATTTAGCCTGAAACGACACAGGGCCTGTAGGCCCTGGTTTTCAGGCTTTCAGGGTGAAAACAACACTGGGCCTGTAGGACCTTGTTTTCAGGCTTTCAGGCTGAAAACAACACGGGCCTGAAAATGGCACCCGTGCAGCCTGTTGCAGGCGCAGCGTGTAACACACACACACACACACACACACACACACACACAGAGAGAGAGAGAGAGAGAGAGAGAGAGAGAGAGAGAGAGAGAGAGAGAGAGAGCAATCTAACTAACTACGTGCCACCCCACCCCACCCCGATTAAGTGCAGTATGTGCTCCGATCAGTTTGATATCTGATCCGTGGTCCATGGAGACGGTTAAAAGAAATAGCATGTGTTGCGAGAGAGAGAGAGAGAGAGAGAGAGAGAGAGAGAGAGAGAGAGAGAGAGAGAGAGAGAGAGAGAGAGAGAGAGAGAGCAATCTAACTAACTCCGTTCTTCCCTCTGTGCTGGACGTTCGTTCATAATCTCCACCTCCAAGAGCTCAAATCCTTTTCAATACTCAGAGAGAGAGAGAGAGAGAGAGAGAGAGAGAGAGAGAGTTGTCCAGTGTTCAGAGAGTCCCTCTGTGCTGGACGTTGCTCACTTATGGCTGTCAAAAGATCGTACAACACTTGTGGCAGTTGTATGAGGTGTTGGCTAACCTCTGCCTTGGCCTGCGAGTGGGAATGGGTATTTTCTGTGAGTGCTTCTCAATCACCAACACTTGGAGCCGGCTCCATGAAGAGCGGTTTCTACTTCTACTGGCCATTCCCTTTTGATTGTTGCTGCCCCTGCTTTGGCTATCTTTCTGGCTCGTTACACAATGGGAAGAAAGGAATGATGGGGCTTGCCTTCCCACATTTGAAACACCGGGTTTTATGGAAGTGCTGCTACTGGGTTTCCGACAGGTTCATCTGCTTCTAGGGCTGGCCCTCGTCAAGCCCTGGATTGGTTGGGAAGCTCCTCTGGCCGTGAGGTCAAGTTTACCCAAGGGAAAGAAATAGCCTTGGTTAGGGTAGCTTAAGGTGGGGAAGGGTGTAGCCTAGTGTAGGGAATACTCAGGGGCTGGGACGAATACACTCTAGGGTAGGGGGACGTTTCGCATGATTGCCTTCAAATGGGTTTTCCCTTGTTTGATTTGCACATACGGAAGGTGGAGAATCGTCACACAGCTCGCTGCCAGAATCAAACGTCGTTCAACCTGTCTTCTTGACAAGGATCAATCAAGGCAGTGTGCAGAGCTCCTGGAGCCCATTGCTCTGTCTGCACATGCCTGATCAACTCTTGATCGGTATGATGTTGTTGGAGTCTGGTGGAATGAAAATTTCTTGTCCCCAGTCATCAGCATCTTTCGAAGATTGTGGAAGGTTCATAGGTTGGCAACTTGTTGCTCTGGAAGGTCACGGAATGG